AAATCTTAATATTAACTAAAAAAATAGATCAAAAATAAAAAAGAAAATCTATCCCTGATTGATTTTATATTTTAAGGCTATTTTTAGGATTTTTTAGATTGATAAATTGATTTCTAATTAAATGTTGTGAGGGTAGTTGTGAGGTTTTTTTGTTTTGTTAAAATGGGTTGTAAAATGAGATTTTTTTGGCAAAAATAAGTCTACACTAATTTTTTAAGTAGCATTGTGGTGGGCAAAATTTGAGCATACATGCGGCATGTTGATTAACTTTTAAAAAAAATATATTAAAGGTGAACAACATGTCATTCACCCATTAAAAAAAATTTTAAAATATAAGGCCCAGGTAAGCAAGCCCGGGCCATTAGGTTCATATGTCTGGGCTTTTTTATGCTATTTTTTAATTTTTTTTTATATTTTATTTAGGTGCAAGATAAATTATGCTTAAAAAAATTATACTTAATTGAGATCATGTTTTGATTTGAGTTCTAAATTTTATCGGTTAATTAAAATTGACTAGGTCTATATAATATAACATATTTTTAAAGATTTAGCTTTGATGTTTATGTAACTCTTCAATTTACTTCTAAAATTAATTTGATTTGTTGTCAATTAAAATTAAATGATGGTCCAACTGAAAAGAGAATAAAGAAATAAAAAAGAAAGACAAATTATTCAATTAGATTAACTCATTATAGTAGTATCCATTGTCTGAGTTGTAAATTTCACATGCTAACCAGGGTTAATACAGTGTGTTGTCCTCTTTTTATTTCATTTCCTTAGTTTTTTTTTTAATTTAATCCTTTAACAGTTCTTTATTTCATATTTAAGTTAGGGTTAGGTAAAACTAAAACAATGACAATATATATATATATATTTTACTAGATCACCATTTGGAAGGGGCAATTATATTAATTTTTGCTCTTATGGTCTTATTTTTTATTATTTTTTTTATTAATACTTATGATGATTGATTAATTTAATTTGATGAAATTTTTAATTTTCATTTAAATATTTCATCGTATCCAAATAAAAATAAAACATTTATATTTTTTTTAATATAATTATATGTTTTTTATCCTACTTGCAACTAAACGATTCCAAATGCTAATTTTTTTTTTTTTAACTAAAACTAAGTTATGCATGGTATGTATGGGCCAGTGTGTCTATTGGCCCGTGTTTCGCAGCGGGTCAATATAAAAAAAAAATGTAATATATATATAGTGTTTTAAGCCCTTTAGGTTTAGCAGTCATGCTAGATCCAAGTGACATGAATCTGACAACAATGCAAGATTTAAGAATGTTGGATTTGATAATCATACTAGACTTAGGAGACTTAGGTCTGGTACCAATCCAGATCTAAAAATATTAGGTCTGATAGACATGCCAGATTTAAGAGCTTTAGGTCTCGTACCAATTCAAACATAGAGATTTGGTCTTGCGGTCATGCCAAACCCAAGTGACTTGGGTTTGGTGACTATGGTGTGGACCTGTGCCTAGGTTTTGCACCAAAAAAAAAAAGCTTTACTTATACGAGTATTTTTGTTTTTCCACACAAGTTGTTTTTGGTAATTTTCTCTAATAATGGGGGACATTCATGTTTACTTACGTCTGACAACAATGTGAAACTCATGTCACATACCTGACCTAAAGTGAGTTAGTTTGGTGTGTTTGCCAGACTTAATTCGATAGAGTTTGACGTGATTGTTAAATCTAAAACTCTTGGGTTTGGGATGGTTGTATTGAAAATAAAAAAAAATATTATTTTAATAAAAAAATAACATGGACCCTGATAATCTAATATCCAAGGTTGATGGCTATGATAAAAGATTTTGTCATCCCAAAAAAGATACTTTATAAGAATAAGTTCTCAAATAGAATTTGTAAAAATTTTGCTATTTTTCATGCTGAAAAGTTTTGAAAACATCAAATTGAGTGTTTTAAAATTTAAAACTTTAGAGACAAAAGGATGAAGACGTAATTGATTTTGGTGCAGGGAGTGCCAAACCTTAGTTGCTTGGGTCTTTTAGTCGAGGATTTTAGGTCTGGCATTTGGGTTTGGTAACAATATCATACCCAAATGACTTAAGTAGTTTGGATTTGGTGTGGTTTCCATACCTACTGTTAAATAGTTAAAATATATCTTATAATTTAAAGTGTCTAACCCAAAGTTAATTAGGTCTAATAAAAATATTTCATCTGTATTTGCTTGAACCTGGAAAATATCACTGACCTATTTTTACTTGGAGCTAAAAACATGTTATATCTATATTACTTGAGTATAAAATTATATTCAATTCATTATTTTTTGGTCTAGAATCATGCTTAATCTATGTTATTTTTATTTTTTTTATAATGAGCAACATGATTTTCTAGGATGAAAGAGAGGGAGAGAAAAACCTTTTTCTCAAGCTCTTACCTGGGCCTCCTCGGCACACAAGTCTAGGATGGCGAGGTGCTTTAAAAGATTTTTTATAAAATAACTCTTGGTTTTGTTCTGAGATTATACACGACACTCAAATAGCAGGCGCGGTGCCTGTCCGCTAACACATGCCAAGTACGCTCCAGCCATTCATGCTCTAGCTGCTTAGAACTTATTTGAACTATTTAAAAAAAAAAAAAAAAAAGGGGGATGGAGAAGCCTCCAACTGCATGCTCTGCAAGTTTTTTTTTGGCAAATATAATTTCATTATTACACTGTTTTCAATTTACAGTGATATAAATAACAAATAAGTTATGCATGGTTTGTGTGGGCCTCAAATTAATGACGACTGCATGTAACGAGGGCTGCCGCTGCCACATAACAGACAGAAAACCACCTTTATAGGTAATGAATTTTCAGAAGCAAGCGAAAAGGTTTGGTTGAGGGATCCTTGTCGGCCATGATTGTAATATTATTACATTCACGATTTCACATCGAAGGAGGTTGACTATTTTTTTAGCAAAATAAAATATAATAAAATAAAATTTCAAAGTTGACTATTTGGGCACCAGCAAAGAACAACTGTTTGCTTGATATTTTACGCCAGATATTACTTTTTTATTTTATCTTAAAAATTAATTTTAGTTTCTAAAAACAAATGATTTTTATTTTTATAAATGCTCCATAAAAATACATTTTACTTACATAAAATATAAGAGAAAATAATAAATTGTCTTTGGTCATTAAATTAGAAAACCAGCTAAAAGATTAATTTTCATTTAAAAAAGTTTAAAAAACAATTTAAAAATAAGATAGAATATATTAATTAAAATTTAGATATTAATGAGAAGTTAAAAAAGAAAGAGATCATGCGAGCCTGTTAGGCTTGCGTGTTCAGCCATGCATGAAAGAACTCATGTCAGGTTAGGCTTGGAAGGGTAGGTTTGTATATTTAATTAATTATTTTATTTTATTTTTAGTTTAAGGATAGGATGATGATGTCGTCCTTCCCATTTATTTATTTTTTTTTATTAAAATAAATGACATATCATTTTCTAGATAATTTTCCACCGTTTTAAATGATCAAAAAGTCAACATTCAAGTTTTTAGATCCTAAAAATTTAATTTTTATTTTTTCATCTAAAAATACCTAAAAAAAACATTATAACATCAATAAACTCATCCTCAGCCCCGAATGTCTTTGCTAGTTTTACAGGAAAATGTCTTTAAAGATATTAAAATTAACGACAATATAAGCGACAATATAATTCTGCAGTTGCCATTAATATTAACACCTTACCGTCTTCCACTCAGCAGTAGCAGTGACTCAGAGAAAGAAGAAATGCAAGGAAACAGAAGCATAGATTGAGCACATCAAGAAAATGAAACGAAGACTGCAGAGACCAGCCCCTGTTCGTTGAGGCCTTTCTCTTGTTCAAGGAAGGGTTGCTTGCGAGTCAAATGTTTCTCGTTCTCCATTATCTCAGCCCTGAGAGGCTGCTGTGCCTAAAAAGTCCACGGCTGTCGCAGTCAGAGGTTACACCATGGAGATGGATAGAGCCCCCCATGTTTTATTAAAATAAATAAATGGGTGTATGCTCCCTTTCTCATTGAATTAAGTTCAAGATTCGAAGGAAATAAGATTTTTGTTATAATTTTTTTATTGCCAACATAAATAGCTTAAATTTAACTAGTTTGGAGTGGAGAGTAGATATGGTGATCTAAGAATCCCTCCATATCTCATTCTACCATGTAACTAAAAAACAAAAATTAAATCCATAAGATTAGCTTAATTTCCATGAATAAAAATTGATTTGTACGCAATATTTAACCTTTGAAAAAAATAGAGCGTTTTTCTTCTCTTTTCTAAAACTTGATGCAATAGATATGTGATTTTTTTTATAAATATAAATAAAATTTTTATATAAATTAGTTTAGTATATATATCATCTTATAAGTATTGTATATTAGTTCTAGATATTTTTTATACTTTTTAATTTGTAAGAATAATTTTTTTATAAAAAAATATAATATGTATTAGTTTTAACATCAAAAAAATATAATATGTATTAATTTTAACATTTTTAATTAATACTCAATTTTAATAAATCATTGATCATAAATATTTAAGAATAATATTTTAATGGAATAAAAATTTTATAATTAGAATAATTTTATAATTTTTCTTGTAAATATTATTTTTATTAATAAATTAAAGCAATAAAACGGGCAACGGATTTACATGGCACATTCACTAATACAAACCGTGCTGAGGTTGAATGCTGTCACTGTCTTCTCTTGCCTTGCTAAAATGGATGAACCAACCATGTTGATGACAATGCCATCTCACACATATATCGTTTTCTATTGCCCAAACTAGGTTCCATTTATTATCCTTCTCACCCATCAACAAGGCTTTTTGCTATATTTTTCCACCCCATCAAGATTTGCTTGCTGCGTTGCAGAAGTCTACAACTTTTGATTCTGTGCTTCTAAGGATTCAAAGCTTATCTTAGAATTTGAATGTCAACAGCAATCCCACTAGAGGCCATTCATACTTGACTTGTCTTCCAGTAAGCTCGCTTTTTGGTCTTCCTTTCTTCTTCCCTTTCTTTTGCCAGTGAGAATTTTGAATGTTTTTAGACTTCTACTCCTGGCTGGGTGCGTGGTTCGTTATTAGCTACTAAGATTATGGGGTTTGACTATTTTCCTTGTTTGGTAAGCTGGATATTTGGAGACATTAAATCTGCAAACTTGGCTTGAATCTTTTTGGATTTTCCTTTTCCCTTTCCCTGGGATGGGGCTTGAATCTTTTTGGATTTTCCTTTTCCTTTTCCCTTTCCCTGGGATGCTTATCTGGGTGAAAAGATTGTATATTGTTGTCTATTCATCTTTGTAATTTGAAGGGATAACTGGAAATGAATTTGCAATTTTTAGTTATTTTAGCTTGTTTGGTGCTTACGTAGGGCACGAAGATGTTGCAGCTGAGAACTTGTGAATGTGTTTTTGTGCTGTCATATTGTTACTTGGTGCTACTCACGGTTGCTCAAGTTTCAAGTCCCTCAGAAGGTGAATTTAATTTCCCCCCTCAACTTGACTTTTACTTGAATAGATATACAATGATTACGTAGACAAAATGGTTCCAATCATATATGTATTCTTTGAGGTTTTTAGGAGGGTAGAAATGCGTTGTGCTTTGAACTGTTAATTAAAATTATGTTTTAGTTGGAGAATAAGCAAACAATTAGAAAATAAAAATAAGGCAAATAAATTTCTTGCAAAAGATTACACTTCCTCTTTGAATGTGTCATTGTGATTCACAATTTTTTGGTGACGATAGGGAGAGCTGGTTGACTACTGCTCCAGTCTCATGTTCTCAATATTGTGCATTTTTGCAGTTAATGCATTGCTAGCAGTCAAGAACAGTTTGATTGATCCTATGAAGCATCTCAGTAATTGGAACAAGGGAGATCCATGTGCCTTCAATTGGACTGGTGTTTCTTGTTCTGACTCAGCTGGGACTGATGGTTACTTGCATGTTCAAGCGCTGTATGTTCTATGCATTTGCTTTTTGTTGTTATTTCTATTCCTTCTGGTTTTGATGAATAAAGTCATGAATTTCTTTGTTTTACAGAATATAACGAGTAATACAATCATAACTTTGGATACGAATACTTACTGTTTGTTAGATTTGGTGCAGTCAGCTTATGAATATGAATCTTTCTGGATCTTTAGCACCTGAGCTTGGCCAGCTTTCTCAACTGAAAATATTGTGAGTTGCAATATATATTAACCATATTTCTGGGGAATTTACTTCGAGAATCTGAACATGTCTTGCTAATCCTCATCTGGTGATTCTAAGACCCCTTTTCTTCTGTTGTGATATTAAAAGGGATTTTATGTGGAATGAATTGACTGGCAGCATACCAAGAGAGATAGGAAGTCTTTCATCTTTGAAACTCCTGTAAGTTGGTTTCATGTTATTTCACTTTGTAAGTGGGTTGTTTTCCTTCTGCTTCTTGTCATGGTTATCCTTAGGACCTGATTAATTATAAATTCAAGAAGTGTCTTAAATTTCTATCTGAGCTGTCTTTTGTCCTGAAGCTTCAAAGAATTTTCGTACCTAAATATAGAGGATGTTTCAAGCAAGTTTGTTATTTATTTTATCCTTTCTGAAAAAAGGATAAAATACTATACAACTGGTGGTGTTATTTTCTGAAACCTGTGATGCAAAAATTTAATGAAGGCAAAACTATTAAAGGGTGTCAGCAAATCTCACAGTTACTGTTTATAGAAACGGATACCTTAAAAACGAATCTGCACCAGTAGCATGCTTGGAATTAATTTAACCTCTTATGATGTATTATCAATGCAGGCTCTTGAATGGAAACAAATTATCAGGCTCTTTACCTGATGAGTTAGGCTATTTAACAAAACTAAATAGACTTCAAGTAGATCAGAACAACATTTCAGGACCACTACCAAAATCATTCGCTAACATGAGCAGTGTTAGACACCTGTAAGTGTAACTTCAAGCTAAATCCTTATTTGAGTTGTGAAGAGGTTAGCTTCTATTTGGATATGTAATTGTCTTACATGTGATACTTGCAGCCACTTGAATAACAACTCAATCAGTGGTCAAATTCCACCTGAGCTTTACAAACTATCAACTCTCTTTCACTTGTGAGTTAATAATGCATTGGTTTCCCTTTTTGTTCCACTGTCTACATATTTTTGTGATCCATATGCAATGTTTCCCTTGATTGAGAACATGTGAAACAATCTCTGCAGGCTTTTGGATAATAACAACTTATCTGGATATCTTCCACCAGAACTATCAAAGTTGCCAGAGATGCAGATAATGTAGGTGCTCCTTTGACATCGTCTAGAATGTTACCTGGGTCATTATCACATTTAATCATTTATCTTATAATGTGATAATTTATATCCCATGTATATGCATCTGATTAGATTTTCTTAATAGTAGTGGTATTGATCCTAGTAAAAAATTCATTAAAGCTGCAGCATGTTTGTGTTTTTGTGTGTTTGTTTGAGTCTCTGTGTGTGTTGCTTTGAGTAAATTTTGTTCACCGTTCCTTTATTTTCCTCCCTACAGTCAACTCGACAACAACAACTTTAACGGGTCGGGAATTCCAGCTACATATGGCAACCTTTCCAGATTAGCAAAACTGTAAGTCTTAAAAAACCATGCCAGCCTCCATAGCTGTTTCACATTCAGAGGAGGAATCTTCACACTCTTAGTGCTTGCTATATGAATTCTCTTACATGAATACTGATCGTGCAGGTTTTCTAATTTAAAAAATAACTACTTTTTCATATTCATGAAATCATGTTTTACTCTTGTGATTGGGATGGTTAAGGGCTTTGCTTTCGTGTTTATATAAACATGAATCAAATGAGAAACTTCTGTTGCATAAATATACACAAAAGAAGTGCTGATGTTACTGTTTTTTTAATTTGTAATCCTCTTTGACAATGTAGAAGTCTCAGAAATTGTAGCTTGCATGGTGCTATACCTGATCTTAGCAGCGTACCAAACCTATACTATTTGTAAGTAGTTTCTACATTTGGTAGTATTCTCATTCTATCAATTCCATTTTATTTGACTACCATATCTATTTTTCCATTACATGCACTTATGGTACTTGCATTATGTAATTTGGCTTGCAGGGATCTGAGTGAGAACAACCTTAGTGGATCTATACCTTCCAAACTTTCTGATTCTATGAGAACTATGTAAGTAAAACCATGTTGAAAAGGGGAAAGAAAATTAGCAAATTGTAGATAGTATAGATCTGCATTTGTAATATTCTATGTTTGTAAAACCATGTTATAAGTGGAAGATTGGAAGTTATTATACTTCACTACCGACGGATGACTTCACTAGTTTGTGATGAAGGTATTTTGTGTTTGAAAATTCTTGTCAACTGCAGTGATTTGTCAGAGAACCATCTTAATGGATCTATACCTGGAAGTTTCTCAAATCTTCCTTTTCTTCAGAGACTGTGAGATTCTATCTACTTATTCTACTTGTTTTTATTCTTGAAAAGATTAATGGTTCAAGTTAGACGCTCTCATTTGCGAAGCCTATGCACACAAAATATAATATTCTAAATGATTGCATACTGCAGGTCACTTGAAAATAATCTGTTGAGTGGTTCTGTGCCAACTGACATCTGGCAGAACATGACCTCCACTAAAAGCGCTAGACTAACAATGTAAGAATTGAAAGAAGAAATGCATTTAAAATCATTAATTTTCAGCATGAACTTCAGTATACAACACTCTCAGCAAACTTTATAGTATTGGAATAATACTAGCTAATCGTTCTGTTCACTTCTCAAATGCAGTGATCTTAGGAACAATTCACTCTCGAGCATTTCAGGGGCACTGAATCCTCCAGATAATGTCACCTTAAGGTAGTATTTTTATGAAGTAGTGTATGCCCTTCTTTTTAATGGTCTGTTTCATACACTTTCTTTTCTGATACAGTTTAGTGTGCCAATTAAAAATATGTCGAAACCTTATAGACCATCGGAAGAAATAATAAGAGAATCACTTGAGTTTGTCAAATATATGGATGTATTAAAAATTGTCTATTAGATGGACATGTATCTTCCGATGTCCACCCTTCTATTTGGTGCTTCCAGCTTTTGTTTAAGATCTGCAAAATCAACAATGAAACATTCCTTTCCATGCACTCAGGTTTTGTATAGAAGGCTTCATATACAAAATCCAGGGTCCAAAATTGGAGCCTGCAGGTCGGTTTTCCAATGGTACTAGCTGTTAGGATTTGGAGATTGTGAAAGTTACTAAGAGATGTTGATTTATATTCTTTGCTTTGATTATTGTTATCTTCAGAAGTAACTCAAAAATACCAACATGATGATGGCATTGAGAAATACTATTTTGAAAAGAAATTTTTTTTTCCATCAGTCATATTCTGATCATTTTAGCAGTTTTTGTTTAGGCTTGGAGGCAATCCTATTTGTGAAAGTGCAAACACAGCCAACATAACCCAGTTCTGTGGGTCTGAAGATGGAGGAGATAGGAAAGCTGAGAGGTCAAGGAAATCTATGATGGCATGTCCTGTTCAAGCATGCCCAACAGATAATTTCTTTGAATATGTCCCAGCTTCACCGCTACCATGCTTTTGTGCCTCCCCTCTAAAAGTTGGATACAGACTTAAAAGCCCTAGTTTCTCTTATTTTGATCCATATGTTCTTCCATTTGAGTTATATGTGACTAGTTCTCTTGACCTGAACCCTTATCAACTGGCAATCGATTCCTATTTCTGGGAAGAAGGCCCTCATAAAATTTTTATATAAATTAGTTTAGTATATATATCATCTGAAAAGTATTGTATATTAGTTCTAGATATTTTTTATACTTTTTAATTTATAAGAATAATTTTTTTATAAAAAAATATAATATGTATTAATTTTAACATTTTTAATTAATACTCAATTTTAATAAATCATTGATCATAAATATTTAAGAATAAAATTTTAATGGAATAAAATTTTTATAATTAGAATAATTTTATAATTTTTCTTGTAAATATTATTTTTATTAATAAATTAAAGCAATAAAACGGGCAACGGATTTACATGGCACATTCACTAATACAAACCGTGCTGAGGTTGAATGCTGTCACTGTCTTCTCTTGCCTTGCTAAAATGGATGAACCAACCATGTTGATGACAATGCCATCTCACACATATATCGTTTTCTATTGCCCAAACTAGGTTCCATTTATTATCCTTCTCACCCATCAACAAGGCTTTTTGCTATATTTTTCCACCCCATCAAGATTTGCTTGCTGCGTTGCAGAAGTCTACAACTTTTGATTCTGTGCTTCTAAGGATTCAAAGCTTATCTTATAATTTGAATGTCAACAGCAATCCCACTAGAGGCCATTCATACTTGACTTGTCTTCCAGTAAGCTCGCTTTTTGGTCTTCCTTTCTTCTTCCCTTTCTTTTGCCAGTGAGAATTTTGAATGTTTTTAGACTTCTACTCCTGGCTGGGTGCGTGGTTCGTTATTAGCTACTAAGATTATGGGGTTTGACTATTTTCCTTGTTTGGTAAGCTGGATATTTGGAGACATTAAATCTGCAAACTTGGCTTGAATCTTTTTGGATTTTCCTTTTCCTTTTCCCTTTCCCTGGGATGCTTATCTGGGTGAAAAGATTGTATATTGTTGTCTATTCATCTTTGTAATTTGAAGGGATAACTGGAAATGAATTTGCAATTTTTAGTTATTTTAGCTTGTTTGGTGCTTACGTAGGGCACGAAGATGTTGCAGCTGAGAACTTGTGAATGTGTTTTTGTGCTGTCATATTGTTACTTGGTGCTACTCACGGTTGCTCAAGTTTCAAGTCCCTCAGAAGGTGAATTTAATTTCCCCCCTCAACTTGACTTTTACTTGAATAGATATACAATGATTACGTAGACAAAATGGTTCCAATCATATATGTATTCTTTGAGGTTTTTAGGAGGGTAGAAATGCGTTGTGCTTTGAACTGTTAATTAAAATTATGTTTTAGTTGGAGAATAAGCAAACAATTAGAAAATAAAAATAAGGCAAATAAATTTCTTGCAAAAGATTACACTTCCTCTTTGAATGTGTCATTGTGATTCACAATTTTTTGGTAACGATAGGGAGAGCTGGTTGACAACTGCTCCAGTCTCATGTTCTCAATATTGTGCATTTTTGCAGTTAATGCATTGCTAGCAGTCAAGAACAGTTTGATTGATCCTATGAAGCATCTCAGTAATTGGAACAAGGGAGATCCATGTGCCTTCAATTGGACTGGTGTTTCTTGTTCTGACTCAGCTGGGACTGATGGTTACTTGCATGTTCAAGCGCTGTATGTTCTATGCATTTGCTTTTTGTTGTTATTTCTATTCCTTCTGGTTTTGATGAATAAAGTCATGAATTTCTTTGTTTTACAGAATATAACGAGTAATACAATCATAACTTTGGATACGAATACTTACTGTTTGTTAGATTTGGTGCAGTCAGCTTATGAATATGAATCTTTCTGGATCTTTAGCACCTGAGCTTGGCCAGCTTTCTCAACTGAAAATATTGTGAGTTGCAATATATATTAACCATATTTCTGGGGAATTTACTTCGAGAATCTGAACATGTCTTGCTAATCCTCATCTGGTGATTCTAAGACCCCTTTTCTTCTGTTGTGATATTAAAAGGGATTTTATGTGGAATGAATTGACTGGCAGCATACCAAGAGAGATAGGAAGTCTTTCATCTTTGAAACTCCTGTAAGTTGGTTTCATGTTATTTCACTTTGTAAGTGGGTTGTTTTCCTTCTGCTTCTTTTCATGGTTATCCTTAGGACCTGATTAATTATAAATTCAAGAAGTGTCTTAAATTTCTATCTGAGCTGTCTTTTGTCCTGAAGCTTCAAAGAATTTTCGTACCTAAATATAGAGGATGTTTCAAGCAAGTTTGTTATTTATTTTATCCTTTCTGAAAAAAGGATAAAATAATATGCAACTGGTGGCGTTATTTTCTGAAACCTGTGATGCAAAAATTTAATGAAGTCAATACTATTAAAGGGTGTCAGCAAATCTCACAGTTACTGTTTATATAAACGGATGTCTTAAAAACGAATCTGCACCAGTAGCATGCTTGGAATTAATTTAACCTCTTATGATGTATTATCAATGCAGGCTCTTGAATGGAAACAAATTATCAGGCTCTTTACCTGATGAGTTAGGCTATTTAACAAAACTAAATAGACTTCAAGTAGATCAGAACAACATTTCAGGACCACTACCAAAATCATTCGCTAACATGAGCAGTGTTAGACACCTGTAAGTGTAACTTCAAGCTAAATCCTTATTTGAGTTGTGAAGAGGTTAGCTTCTATTTGCATATGTAATTGTCTTACATGTGATACTTGCAGCCACTTGAATAACAACTCAATCAGTGGTCAAATTCCACCTGAGCTTTACAAACTATCAACTCTCTTTCACTTGTGAGTTAATATTGCATTGGTTTCCCTTTTTGTTCCACTGTCTACATATTTTTGTGATCCATATGCAATGTTTCCCTTGATTGAGAACATGTGAAACAATCTCTGCAGGCTTTTGGATAATAACAACTTATCTGGATATCTTCCACCAGAACTATCAAAGTTGCCAGAGATGCAGATAATGTAGGTGCTCCTTTGACATCGTCTAGAATGTTACCTGGGTCATTATCACATTTAATCATTTATCTTATAATGTGATAATTTATATCCCATGTATATGCATCTGATTAGATTTTCTTAATAGTAGTGGTATTGATCCTAGTAAAAAATTCATTAAAGCTGCAGCATGTTTGTGTTTTTGTGTGTTTGTTTGAGTCTCTGTGTGTGTTGCTTTGAGTAAATTTTGTTCACCGTTCCTTTATTTTCCTCCCTACAGTCAACTCGACAACAACAACTTTAACGGGTCGGGAATTCCAGCTACATATGGCAACCTTTCCAGATTAGCAAAACTGTAAGTCTTAAAAAACCATGCCAGCCTCCATAGCTGTTTCACATTCAGAGGAGGAATCTTCACACTCTTAGTGCTTGCTATATGAATTCTCTAACATGAATACTGATCGTGCAGGTTTTCTAATTTAAAAAATAACTATTTTTTCATATTCATGAACTCATGTTTTACTCTTGTGATTGGGATGCTTAAGTGCTTTGCTTTTGTGTTTATATAAACATGAATCAAATGACAAACTTGTGTTGCATAAATATACACAAAAGAAGTGCTGATGTTACTGTTTTTTTAATTTGTAATCCTCTTTGACAATGTAGAAGTCTCAGAAATTGTAGCTTGCGTGGTGCTATACCTGATCTTAGCAGCATACCAAACCTATACTATTTGTAAGTAGTTTCTACATTTGGTAGTATTCTCATTCTATCAATTCCATTTTATTTGACTACCATATCTATTTTTCCATTACATGCACTTATGGTTCTTGCATTATCTAATTTGGCTTGCAGGGATCTGAGTGAGAACAACCTTAGTGGATCTATACCTTCCAAACTTTCTGATTCTATGAGAACTATGTAAGTAAAACCATGTTGAAAAGGGGAAAGAAAATTAGCAAATTGTAGATAGTATAGATCTGCATTTGTAATATTCTATGTTTGTAAAACCATGTTATAAGTGGAAGATTGGAAGTTATTATACTTCACTACCGACGGATGACTTCACTAGTTTGTGATGAAGGTATTTTGTGTTTGAAAATTCTTGTCAACTGCAGTGATTTGTCAGAGAACCATCTTAATGGATCTATACCTGGAAGTTTCTCAAATCTTCCTTTTCTTCAGAGACTGTGAGATTCTATCTATTTATTCTACTTGTTTTTATTCTTGAAAAGATTAATGGTTCAAGTTAGACGCTCTCATTTGCGAAGCCTATGCACACAAAATATAATATTCTAAATGATTGTATACTGCAGGTCACTTGAAAATAATCTGTTGAGTGGTTCTGTGCCAACTGACATCTGGCAGAACATGACCTCCACTAAAAGCGCTAGACTTACAATGTAAGAATTGAAAGAAGAAATGCATTTAAAATCATTAATTTTCAGCATGAACTTCAGTATACAACACTCTCAGCAAACTTTATAGTATTGGAATAATACTAACTAATCGTTCTGTTCACTTCTCAAATGCAGTGATCTTAGGAACAATTCACTCTCGAGCATTTCAGGGGCACTGAATCCTCCAGATAATGTCACCTTAAGGTAGTATTTTTATGAAGTAGTGTATGCCCTTCTTTTTAATGGTCTGTTTCATACACTTTCTTTTCTGATACAGTTTAGTGTGCCAATTAAAAATATGTCGAAACCTTATAGACCATCGGAAGAAATAATAAGAGAATCACTTGAGTTTGTCAAATATATGGATGTATTAAAAATTGTCTATTAGATGGACGTGTATCTTCCGATGTCCACCCTGCTATTTGGTGCTTCCAGCTTTTGTTTAAGATCTGCAAAATCAACAATGAAACATTCCTTTCCATGCTCTCAGGTTTTGTATAGAAGGCTTCATATACAAAATCCAGGGTCCAAAATTGGAGCCTGCAGGTCGGTTTTCCAATGGTACTAGCTGTTAGGATTTGGAGATAGTGAAAGTTACTTAGAGATGTTGATTTATATTCTTTGATTTGATTATTGTTATCTTCAGAAGTAACTCAAAAATACCAACATGATGATGGCATTGAGAAATACTATTTTGAAAAGAAATTTTTTTTTCCATCAGTCATATTCTGATCATTTTAGCAGTTTTTGTTTAGGCTTGGAGGCAATC